AGGTACAGGAATAATTAAATAAACAAATCATCCTTCTTTACTATCCACTTTAAAATTCTTTTTATGGCAAATTGAATTAATCTTTAGCCAAAGCCAGCCCATTAGAATTGGAAAGTTAACCATTTTTTCATTACTCAGCCTATAATTCACAGTGAATAAAAATTATATCTCCTTCAAAATATTTTTCTGTGATTGTGGTACAGGTGAAATTGTCTCCAAAAATATAACTCTGAACTATAAATTAGAATGATGTATTCTCTCCCAAGTTCCAGCAAAGAACAAAATTCTTTGATCAACAGGCTTAGTGCAAAATAATACAAGGACCTAGTCACAGTAAACAGATCATCCTATATGCAACTACATTAAAAAACCTGTCTGTATGAATCTTTATAGCAGCTCTATTAGTTATTGCAAAACACTGAAGAGAACCAAATATCCTCCAATTGGTGAATGGCTGAACAAACTTTGGTATACCCATGCAATGGACTACTACTCAGAATAAAAAGGAATGAACTACTGATACATGTCACATTCTGAATGGACCTCAAGGGCTTTATGCTTAGTAAAAATTCAATCTCATAAATTTACAAGCTATCTAATTCCATTTATATAACTTTCTCAAAATGGCAAAATTATAGAGATAAAGAACTGGAGAAGGATAGAGAGGTGGATGATACTACAAAGGGATAGCCTGAGAGAGAATGAGAATCTATACCTGGAACAAAACTACACATACACACACATGAGTGCAAGTTAACAATGGTAAAAAGTAAATAACGTCTATAGACTAGTTAATAGTAATGTATCAATGTCAATTTCCTGGTTTCGATATTGTATTATAGTTATACTAGAGGCCCAGTGCATGAATTCATGCATGGGTGGGATCCGGCTGGCCTACCCCAATTAAGACTAGTTGGGCCATGCCAGTTGGGGGGAGGGGACATGGGAGGTTGGCCAGCAGGTGCCACCCAGATCAAGGTGGGCAGGGCTGGCCAGGGGGAGGGGCCACAGGTGGTTGGCTAGCTGGTCCCACTCCCTGGTCAAACTCCCAGTCAAGGGAACAATTTTCATATTAGCCTTTTATTGTATAGGATTGCATAGGATGATATCACCTTGGGAGAAGGTTTATACAGGTGAAGGTGAAAGGTAGAAAGGATTCTTTGTACTATTTTTATAATTTCCTATAATTATTTCAACATAAAAGTTTAAGCAAACAAAAGATGGCTATTGGTACAAGAACCTTAATTTGAACTTGTGCTACTGTCCTGTGTACCCTACTGCCTACAAAATGTTTCATTAAAATGTATCGAATATGCATTGTTTCCTACAGAGAAGAATATAATATATAAAAGGCTCATCTGCATCATATGTAAAGAAATTTAAGGAAATTCAAAACATTTTATTAGGAAAATATTAAGACACTGAATCATTTGATTCATGGCAACTGAGCCCAGGCATTCCAATGTACTAATATGGACATGGAAAGAGAACATTGGGAGTTGGATAGAAGTGATGACTGGGCTGCTCTGGCATGTTGGCTATAGACACTGCCTCTCTTTCCTTTTCACTAGAGGCAGCCCATAGGTCTCCTGCCATGTTATCTTGTTCACTGGGAAGGTTAACAGCTGTTCCTTTCCCTACACACTAGGCAGACAAACTGCACAGCAGAAAGCTATAAATAGTCATTACACTGTACATTTGGCATCTCTTTTCCATCTACCCTGATGAGGTTTCCTTGTGAGATACAGAACATGGCCAAATTATAATCATCACAGCCAGAGAGATGAGCTAAAACGTGCCAAATGGTTTTTGGGACAGAGTGAAAGTTGCTTCCTGGCTTCATATTGATTCATTAAAACATTGTACACTAGGTTTGTGTCAACTACAAAATATTACACATACTTTATAGGCCATGACAAAGAATCGAAGTAGTGATGAAATGTTTTCATATTAGTGATGTTTTCCTGTTTCACACCATTTTATTTTATTTCAATAAAAAATACTAGTAAAAAGTATTTTTTATTATTTATAAATCATTTTTTAAAAATCAGAGCCAATCTGTTCATTGTATCAAGCCCCCCGTGCTGAATGTGCTATTAGTCAGAAGTGCTACAAATTCAATTGCTTATAGTTCATTTCAACAATATCAAGTGTTTATTAAGAACATAAGAGCAGGATATTGCTATAGGAAGAAACATAAAAGTGGAAAGATACCAGTCTGCAGTCTCAAGAGGGAGATAAATAGGTTTATATTTAACAAAACACAAGAATTACTGCTATTATTAAGTGTGCTAACATGGCAATTCAATATTATGCAATAATAAGAGACAACTCATGAAAAGTGGTCTTCAGGTATTTAAGAAGAAACTACATGTAATCAGTTGTGCTTCACAGAAAAAAATTAGAATCAATGGCTAAAAATTACAAGAATATATAGAAAGTTGGTTGTATACACACACACACACACACACACGAGTTTTTAAAGATCTTGAGACTATCATACTAAGTGAAATAAGTCAGACAGAAAATGGTTATGAACAGAGACTTAATTTGGGATAGTAAATATACAATACAATGTACAGATGATGTAAAAGAGTGCAACTGAAACTGTATATTTATTTAATATTTGTTAACAAGTGTCACCCCAATATATTCAATTAAAAGGAAAACAAAGAAATAAGAAAAAGTCAAGAACCATATGATTTTACTCTTATGTGGGATCTGAAACTGAAAGAAACAAATGAACAAACAAAAACACATAGACACAGATAACAACATGGCAGTTACAAGAGGGAAGTGGATGAATATTAAAGGGTAAAGGGAATCAAATATATGGTAACAGAAAAATATTTTGGGTGGTAAACACAATATGCAAATGATGTACCATAGAACTGTATACTTGATACCTATAGATTTTTAATCCTCACTCAAAGATATGTTTATTAATTTTTAGAGAGAGGAAAGAGGAAAGAGAAAGTGAGAGAGAGAAACATCAACTGGTTGCCTCTCATATGCATCCCCAATGGGATCAAACGCACAACCTAGGTATGTGCCCTAATCAGGAATCACACCCACAACCTTTATGGTATAAAAAATGATGCTCCAACAAACTGAGCCCTCCAGCTGATGGGGAAACCTATCTAATCTTATTAACCAATGTCACCACAGTAAGTTTTTAAAAATAGATAAATATTTTTAAATTAAAGCTCACATTTATATAATTAATAACATAATAAATCACTGACAACTTAATGACTACAGTGGTATCTGATTAAACCTTTGTACTGAAGAAGAGTTTATGAGGCCTTCCAAGGACCTGTCTCCTCCAGAGGCCCCACAGACCAGGGAAAGGCATCTTGATACCCAGACAACAAATGAACAATCTATGAAGACTAGATATAAGGGAGACATGTAACCTGCAAGATAATCTGAAGATGGAATTCTATCCAAAGGAAGTGATTCATAAATCACCAGAAAGATCCTTTCTCTTTAGAGAGGAAGCAGATGAGAAAGAAAGTACAGAGGTATCAGAAGAAGAGAAAGTGAAAAACTGAGCTCTAATCATGGCAAAGCAGATACAGTACAAGTGACTGACAGCCAACTCTGAGGGAAGAATAAGTTGGCTAGGCTTCCAGACTTCCTGCTAAGCTGCCAGAACCACGCTGTATGATGAACAATGTTACAGTTCTTCATGACACCCTTTTATTTACCTATCGAGGCATGTTCCTACTATACTGTGTGAATTTATTCATTATCAGAGAGAACCTTAAGACAAACTTGAACTTTACCTGAATCCTGTATCCCTGGAAAACAGGAACATTCAAGAAATTGACACCCCCCCACTCACACACAGACTCTTTCTTATATAACTTAGATAAACTCATGGACAACCCCCTGTGACCCATGACAAAACCAAGGCATAGACTCTATAAATTTCCATTCTTTAACTCATAAATGATTAGCTGAACTATTTGTCCCCATCAACCATTCTGGATATCCCCATCAATGCCTAGACTTGATCAAATTTTAGTCAGGTTTAGTCCTTTGAGTTTTGACCCACTCTTGAAAATGGAAGGTGAACAGCCCCTCCTTGATGAACCCTCTCAAGAATCAGTTGACCTCAGGGGAAAACATTGCCTGATCCACTGTCTGATCATGCTACAAATTTACCCCCTTGCTCCACACCCAATTATTTTTAGCCTATTTAGCCTATTCATTCTTCTCTTGGTGGTGGTGGTGGTGGGGACTATTTTGCTTGACCTTTAAAGTGTTTATAGACCTCAGAGTTGAAGTGGTTCTTCCTATTGCAATAGTCATCCTTCTCTGATTGCAATAGTCCTCTTCTCTTATTGAAATCATCTTTTTAAATAAAGCCAACATATATTTTTAAGGACACACAACTTTTACATATTTCTCAATATATAGTCGCATAATAAAATACATGGGAGATCCAGACCACCATATACTAGTATAACACTGTTATTTTTCAGTGTTCAAATGTGAAAATGTCTTAGGTAATTGATTATTAAAGTAAAATAAATCATTCATGACTAACATGAAAAGTTGAAACCAAATAACTGAGGCTTGGAAATCATAGAAAAAACTTTTTTACATTTATTTTTGTATAGTATAATTCAATCATGTCTTTATAACCTATTATTTGTTTAAAAGCTTAATAAACTTGTTTTTATGTTGGCCAATTGTTACCTCAAGCATAAAACCAGCAGTAATACAGCTGCTAAATTTCTTTCCAAAGAACTTTCTGTGAAATCGGTTACCTTTCCATTGCTCCAGTATCCTCTTCTCAACTATGTAGAGTCAGCACATTAACTATAGCACATACACAAAAATAAATCCTTAAGCAGAAAAATACATATGACATTTCTATACCAGAAACAATATCTTTTTCTACAATACTAATATTCCTGTTTTAAAAAAATATATTTTAAATAATAAATACTTGTATAACAAATACATTTTTAAAAAAATCAACTACTCACCCGCATTGACTATAGCATCTACCTCTAGCAATGTGATGTCACCTCTATAGAGAGAAACTTTTTCACTCAAATTTTTCTTCACTTGTGATGTTTCCTGAGTATTTTCTTCTGTAATAAAAAAGAAATATACATTAATAGTAATATTCTTAATTAATCTAATAAATACAATTTTGATAGAAAGCCAATATGAGTCACACTCTAATATATTAGACAAGTGAAAATAAATGTGTAAGTTATCAGGGGTGTGGCTTATTTTCCACATATTGTATATTCCTAAATACAAATGTGGTATCATGTATATAATAAGCACTCAATAAATGTAGGCATGTTATATTGGTCAACCAAAAAATCAATGTTTATTATTGTTATTAAAATGTCAATTTTGAAATAAAATTATGTATCACCAGTTTTACAAGGAGATATGAAAAATATGCACAAATACCAAGACAAAATAATTTTTACAGTGAATTAGTTTATTTCTATTTTGTTCAGTTACCTAAAAGACATTATTGAAAATAATATTTACTTAGAACAAAAACATTTAGGTTCAGCTCTTTGCTACTTCTAACAAGCCATCTCTCAGAATGAAATGGATTAAGAATATTTGAATGTGTAAAACTACTCATTTCTTAAATTATATTAACCTTTGACTCTAGAAGGCACTGCTAGATTTAAAAGAGAAATAGCTCTGTCCTGCACACAACATCCAGCAAGGTAGTATAATTAAAAGTTAAAAATCACATTCTAAAAGCTGACATTTTAAAATGTTTTAGAGAAATATAACCTGCATTTTCTTTTAAACAAATAGTAGTTAAGACATATTAAACAAAGCTATATGAAATTAAAATAAAATGAAATGTTATGCTTTAAAAGCTTTTTAGGATATCTCTCAAAAAACTGATTTATGGACTCCAATTTTTTAAAATATTCATGATTTGTGCAAATCTTTCAATGGAGATGATAATGCTATTAATTCACTATGATACTCTCAGATGAGCATACAATTTGAGATATCTGAGTGATTAGATGTGACAGGTTATGTCACTTGAATTGTCTTTGGGCCCCAGTAACCAAAGAAAAAATTGTTTTCAATCAAGTATCAATATATTTATTATTGTTGTTGTCATTACTATTCCTTATCAGTGAAGACTTTTTGTGCTCTTACCAAGCTGCCAGTGACTGGCTCAAAGACTTTGAGCCAGAAGACCTTGAATTCCACATCCAATCAATTTCAATTCTTACTACTTTTTACCAAATTAAAAAGACCTATTTCCAATTAAAGATTGTTGGGTGACAATAAATACTTGCTGGCTTTGACAAAAATTTCTGGATATTTGGACTATTTGAATCTAGACATTTAAAGACCTCTCGGTGAAATGAGGTTCAAAATTCCATCAGGCATTAATTTGAAAAGCATCTCCTAAATGAAAGTGGAAGGTTAATTGTTTAAACTTGGGTGAAAGAGTTAAGGATTACTAATCCATCCTCTAGTTGCATTTTTTTTAAGAGAGAGAGAGGAAGAGGAGGGAGGAAGAGATAGAGACAGAGAGAAAATATAGAAACAATAATTTGTTATTCCACTTATTTTTGCATTCATGGGAGAATCTTGTATGTGTCCTTGTTATTGGTGGGAGCTTTCTGTCTCCATTTGTTGTTGCTGGAAGTGAGCTTCTTGCGATGTCGTGAGAAAAAGAATTTTCTCAGATTCATATAGGAGAAGAAAATATTGTTAAAAGCTTTATTTCTGTGTGATCAAACCCCTTAGTTTCCAAGGTCCTGTTTCACTCTGTCCCACCAAAGAAAAAGTCTCATTTTGCTTTCAGTAGAGCTAGGATTAAAGCCTAAATGTCCAGAATTTCCATTCCATGTCTTCATAGCCTAATCCAGCATCAGACTAGCTTAGTTTCTATTCCTAGCTATAGTCCATCAGTCCATTGCATTCTGAACCTCAATTCACTGAGAGGTCTTTAAATGTCTAGATTCAAATACAGTGGTGCCTCGCATAAAGAACGCCTCGCACAGCGAACGCTGCACACAACGAACTTCATTTCATGATTCATACAACGAACTTCGTTTCACACAACGAAGTCGCACGAACTTCCACGACCGCTTTGCCCGAGCTTCCACGACTGCTTCGCCCGAGCTTCCACGATCGCTGCCGATGTATTGCATCCTTCCGCGCAGGCACTGCAGGCAGTCGTTAGTCACTGCGCTTAACTTAAGCACGTATCGCGGCAATCGTTCTTCATTACGAATTAAATCACGCACGTATCACGGCAGTCGTCCTTTTAAGTTAAACTCAATATTTTTTTTATATCATGGCTTCTAAAAAAAGCAGGAAGGTGATTTCTGTTGAAATGAAACAGGACAATGCTCAAAGGGAAGCGTCATCTGATAACAAGGAGCAACAATCAAACAATCAACCAATCCCAACTGCTGACATCAAGAACATCCTGGTCAAATGGAAAGCAGTTCAGGAGTTTACCAATGCCCACTATCCGGATTCAGCTGAAGCAAACAGGATCAACGATCTTTACTCGGATACTCTTGTCCGTTATTTCTGGCAGATGTTGGAGAAAAGAGAAAAACAAACGACTTTGGACAGGTTTTTCATGAAACCATCGGCCAAAAAGCAGAAAATGGATGAAGATGTGCAAGATTCGGTAGACTCTACTTAGTCTGTCTTAAAATTAAAAAAATGTGTTTTTTTTTTAAAAAATTATGTTTTTAGATGTATCTAAATAAAAATAATAACAAACAATTTATCTTTTTTTATGTCATCTTTTTTTATGCTACAGAACGAATTATTTTTTTAACATGTATTGTTATGGGAAAACGCGTTTCACATAACAAACTTTTCGCATAACAAACTTGCTCCTGGAACGAATTAAGTTCGTTGTGTGAGGCACCACTGTAGTCCCTCCAGGACCAGATGGCTATTGAGGGAACATGGGCAGGAGCAATGCCAGATGAACAGAGAGTCGAGAGCGAGAGCGAGAGCGAGAGCGAGAGCGAGAGCGAGAGCGAGAGCGAGAGCGAGAGCGAGAGCGAGAGCGAGAGCGAGAGCGAGAGCGAGAGCGAGAGCGAGAGCGAGAGCGAGAGCGAGAGCGAGAGAGAGAGAGAGAGAGAGAGAGAGAGAGAACTGAAACCGGTTTGGCTCAATGGATAGAGCGTCGGCTTGGAAACTGAAGGGTCCCGGGTTCGATTCCGGTTAAGGGCATGTACCTTGGTTGCGGGCATATCCCCAGTAGGGGATGTACAAGAGGCAGCTGATTGATGACTCTCTCTCATCGATGTTTCTAACTCTCTATCTCTCTCCCTTCCTCTCTGTACAAAATCAATAAAATATATATTTTAGAGAGAGAGAGAGAGAGAGAGAGAGAGAGAGGGAACGCTCCTTTGTCTGGGAGGTTACATATTCCCAAATTTTTGGAGGCTTGCAGTGACGAATGATTTCTGTCCCAGATTAGACTAAGAGGCACCTTCCTTACATCACCCCAACTTTACTGAGCAAGTGTCCATCTTTCCCCTTCCCCAGTGATCTCCAGGGACTGGTGCTTCCCTAGAGAGAATGAAATTGTAGCTTCCTGGTGAAGTTACCCAGATGGCCATGTTTATAAAGTCTGGCCTCCCTTTTGTTTCTTTCCAATTATTAATAACTAGCTAAATACAATGGTATCACCCTGACTGGGGATCGAACCCAAGACCTTGGCCTATTCAGGATGACACTCTAACCAACTGGGCTTCCTGGCCAAGGTTTCTAGTTGCATTTAGTTTCATGAAGCATATGTAGGTATGTAATATTGCATGTAATGTGATTTTTAAACATATGTGACAATAAACAATGTATTTCTTTCTACAAAATTTAAATAACAGCATTGGAAAGCCTCAAAGTTTAAACCATCTGTACTACAGTCCAGTTTTCTTAAAAGAAATCCTAATTTCTCATCTGAAAACTTAAATAAAAAAAAAGGAATATTTAGAGCCTAAATAAAGGTTCAAGCAGTTGAATATATTGAATAAATATACTGCTCTGGCAGTTACTCAAACTGATCTTATTAGAATTATCAACAACATGAAATATTTTTATCTCTCTCATTTTAAAAATTCACATGAGCATTTTTTTTCCTCATAGCCAGACTTATACTTGCTGCCCAGTTCCTCACATGATCTATCAAAAAGGCAGAAATGTACTCAAAAACTACAATTAATAATATTAATAATTATCAGCATTTCCTTCAACAATAAACTAAAACCAAATGGCATCATTTTGACCACCAACTATTTTCTGTAAATACAACAATGTAAATTAACACTAGAGGTCACTTATTTTATTTGAACAACAATGCACTCCTTTTTCACACAACTGTGTTCTATCGGCACTGATCCAATCTATCTTTTCCATATCCTGGGTTTTCATGAATACACTAGAGACCCGATGCATGAAATTCATTTATGGCAGTAGGGGTCCCTTACCCTGACCTGCACTCTCTCCAAACCAGGACCCCTCGGGGGATGTCCGACTGTCTCTCACACTAGCTCCTAACTGCTTGCTTGCCTGCCTGCCTGATCACCCGAACCCCTCTAACTGCCTGCCTGATTGCCCCTAACTGCTCCCCTACTAGCCTGATCCCTCTAGCTCACCCCGCATCCAGGACCCAGGATTCCCTCCTCCAGCCGGTCACAGGGACTGGGCTTCCCTCCCTCTGGCCCGCTGAAGGCTCCCAGGACCCGGGCTGGCTTCATCTGGGCTGGCCACAGGTGCAGGGGACTGTGGGTGGGCAGCAGGCGCTGGTGCACCCAGGACCACAGGGCATGCAGTTTTTCCTTCTCCCCAGCCAAGCTGCAGGTTCAAGTGCAGGTGCAGGGGCAGTCTCTGGTGCCTGGGACCACATGGCAGGCGGCTTGTCCCTCTCCTGGACAGCAGGTTCATGTGCCAACGGGACCATGGGGCAGGCAGTTTGTCCCTCTCCCAAGCCACAGCCTGGCTGGTCCCAATTCCTCTCTCAAGATCTCGTTTTTGCCTGGCTGGTCCCCATTCCTCTCTCCCTAGTGTTGAATGTCTGAGATATTATGGTAATATGGCATGAGGGTGTGATGACCATTTG